TGCTGTCTTCTGGCTTCTGATCACCTGGTGCCGCCCCCGTTCTGCTCCTGTCTTTCAGGATTCTAAATCCTATCCATTCTGTCTGCATCACATTTGCCCTAAAATTTTATGTTGCCTAAGATTCTGTTCTCAGTTCTCTGCTCTCTGAACTCCCACCCCATTCCTATAGTTGTAACCTTTATGTGGCTGATCACCACATATGTATTTATCTCTTGACTTCTCTCCTGAACTCCAGAACCTCATTTTCAAATACCATTAACATTTATAAAAATTGAGGTCTTGCTGACATATAACACTGTACTAGTTTTAGCTGCATAACATCATGATTTGAAATATGTATATATTGAGAAGTGATTACCACGATGAGTTTAGTTAACATCCATCACCACACGTAATTACAAATATTTTTTTTCTTGTGATGAGAACTCTTTTATGATCTTCTCTCTAGCAACTTTCAAATATAGAATACAGCGCGGTTAGCTATAGTCACTCCAAGTACCTATTGACCACTCTCACCTGTTGTCTCCATGGAGACACGAACTCAAAACATCCACAATCTTTCTCTCCAAATACACTTCTAAGCTCGGTCTTCCTGTCTTTATTAATGTCATTACTTGGGTCAAATATCAAAGTCATCTTGGGGTTTTTATTCTTATATATTTATTTATTTCAATAAAAATTATGTAGATATTTAAGGTGTACAACACGTTTTGTTATACATAGAGAAATGATTATTATAGTCTAATTAACATATCCATCTCACGGTTACCATTTGTGTGTGTGTGTGTGGTGAGAGCACCTGCAAATCTACTTTTACAAATTTCCAGGAAACAGTATAGGATTATTAACTATAGTCCTCACACCGTACGTTAGATCTAGATCAGCGTCGTCTTTGACAAGCCCACTCCCTTCCCCTGGAGTCAGTCGGCAGGTCCAGTCCGTTCTGCTGCCCCAGGGGCCTGGCAGCCATTCCTCCCTCTTCGTTCTGACTGCGTCTCCCAGCTCAGGTCCTCACGTTACATCCCTGATGGACAGTGGGACAGCGCCTTGCCTGGTCTGCCTGCTTCAGCTGCTTCAAACCCCTGCCTCTTGTGCACTAACTAACACTCTTCCTCCATCTGGTTGGACTGATCATGACATACATCAGAGCATCGCCAGGGTCCCTCTGGTGCCTATGGGATAGTTGCATCTCCTTGAGCAGACACCGGGTTCCTGCATGTTCTGGGCCCACCCTAACCTCCCTTTGCTCCACTCATACCTCTTCGTGGTCCCTATAAGTTTTGCGATTTCTCACCCACGTGCCTTAGTAATGCCCTTCTCTCGGCCCAGGTTGTCCAATTTCTACTCATCTTTCAAGGCCTAGATCATGGGCTGCGTCCCCTGTGAACTCTGTCCTCATTTCCCCAGCTAGAAGTCCTCCTGACCTGCCACAAAACTCAGACAAACCCCTCCTATGGCACTCACCACTTCTTGCCTTGAATTCTAGTTACTGTTATACACTCTTCTCACACTCCTAGATCTCAGGTTCTTGGACCAAGATGTTCTAGTGCACCCCAGCACCTAGTAGGGTGCTTTGCACTTAGTGAAGCTTTATACATTTTACTGGATGATTTCTCAAGCGCCCCAGTCCTTCCTTCCTGCCTCCCGAGCCTTCACCTGCTTCTTTCAACCACTACTTAACTACTTAAAAGTCAGTTCCCCTGTCAAACCAAACATCTGAGGTGCCCAGCATCAGTATGGCATCTGCCACACCCCTTGTGCTGCTGAGGTAGCAATCCCAAGGGCTGCCCTGAGTGTGTGGGGGTCAGGCTTGAGGTAATTTATGAGAGCAGACTGCTGGCTCAAGCTGCAGTGCGGAGCAGTTAAGGCCCTTTTCTTTTAAAGTGTATTTCATAGAGTCTTAGGGTAGGAAGGAACCCTTGAGATTTCCCTCCAACCCCGTCATTTTTCAGGAAACAAAACCGAGGTCCCAAGAGCAGAGATGATTTTTCCAAGGTCATAGAGCAAGTTCATGTGAATACACTCATCCTCCTATGTGTGTGATGGGGGTGGGGGTGGGGGGAGGTAGTACCAGAGGCAGTGGAAGGACAGGGGAGTGGTTAGAAAGTCGTCTTAGGGTAGGAAGGAACCCTTGAGATTTCCATCCAACCCCATCGTTTTTCAGGAAACAAAACCGAGGTCCCAAGAGCAGAAATGACTTTTCCAAGGTCATAGAGCAAGTTCATGTGAATACACTCATCCTCCTATGTGTGTGATGGGGGTGGGGGTGGGGGGAGGTAGTACCAGAGGCAGTGGAAGGACAGGGGAGTGGTTAGAAAGTGGCCTGGAGGCACCCATCGGCCAGAGCATCATCTTTAAGAGTTCCCCTGTGGTGATCTTTAACTCTGGGACCAAGGCACCCTTTCCATGCAACACCCTACCCCATCCTGGTAGCCCCCTCCCTGCCAACTCTCACCTCTCCTGGTGCAAGGTCTCCAGGGCCTTGGGAGCCACACTGAGTGTCTGGACCTCCAAGGTGCTGTTCTGAGACAGCCCCGCAGTCCCCGTCACCTTGACTGTCCTTGGCACATCCACCTGTCCCTCCACTCGGGCATCCAGCATATTCTTAAAGGCAAAGTTCCCAGAGTCTGTTGGATCTGCAGGAGGGAGAAGATGAAAGGGGTGGGGCCGAGAGGCATCGACCTGCTGTCCCCCACCTCCCGTGAGCACTTTGGGCTAGGTGACACCTAACCACATCTGGGTAGAGGGAGCTTCGGGTCCTCCTCGTGGGCTCATGCCTGGGCCCCATCTCTCCGTCCCCAGCCCCACGCCCGAGGCTTACTTGAGGGGCAGCTGCCGGGTTCCAGCACATCCAGGAGGGTGTAGTCGGTGCGCAGGTACCGGGCGCCCCAGAAGAGCGTGCTCTTCCGTTTCCTCAGCACCAGGCAGAAGGGGTGGAAGCGCTTGAAGTCTATGAGGCTGTCCAGGGGTGTCAGATCCCCTCGAGGGTTTAGCTGTCTGGTCAGGGCCCGGGTGACATTTTCAAACATGGTCATTGTCTCTGGGGAGTGGGAGCGGGGGAGACAGAGAGTGACAAGTTGGGAGACCAGGCCATGGGAAGGCCCCTGCAGAGAGATGCCTGGATTCTTGGAATGTCTGAGTGGAAAGGAACCAAAGGATTCTTCATTTTATGACGAGGAAGCGAGGCCTCAAGAGCTGGGGCAGCTTGCCCAAAGCCACTGTCTGGCTAGAGAAGCCAGCCCTGCCCTTTCTCTGTCCAGGACTCTTCTCAACCCACACACATTTTATTCACAAACTTGCAGCCTGTCCGGAGCGTTTCATCAGTGATGGCAGTCAAGCTCTTCTCACACAGCTATGCCTACCTCGTCTTCCCAGAGAAGAGTGACAGCCAGGACCAGGGATGCCAGGGGATGGAGGCAGCCACCACTGGCGCTGAGAGCCTGGGGAGGCAGGTGTCCTGTTTTGGGGGTTGGAGTCACTTCCCTGTACCCTTACCTCCCTGTGCCCTCCTCCTGGCTCCTGGGTGTGGGAGCCACTGCCCTCCGGAGCCTGCCCAGCAGATCCAGGCATCTCACTGCTCTTTGCCTTCGTTCTCCTGCTTACAATACCTCCCTTCCAACCTAGAGTCAGTAGCCATCCTTTAAGAGTTCATTCGGGTCACCTCCTCTGTGATCTCTTCCCTCACCCTTTCAGACAGCTAGTGACTCCACCCCATGTCCCCGAAGCAGGTGTCCTTCTGAAACACCTGCAGCCTCATGTTGTTATGATCTGACCTACTCTACTGTGACCTCCCGGAGGGAAGGAAATGGCTGTTAGTCATCTCAGCAGCATCAGCACCAGGCACAGTGCCTGGCACAGACTTGGAGCTTGGCGTATGTGTGCAGAACGAGTGAATGAACAAATGGATGAATGTGGCCCTGGGAGACACAAGCTGAGGTGAGAGGGCCCTAAAGAATGTGGGGCCTGCAAGAGCCTGAGGTTCCTACTCTTAGTGTCTGTCTTTGAGGTTCAAGTCCAGGTGCACTGGCTGGGCAGCCAGCTGGCAGAGCCAAATTATCCCCGTGGGTGGAAGAGGCTATACCAGCTGGCCGGGAATTGCTTCACCTCCCCTGTAGGCACTTCGGAGAATCATGGAAGCAGGAGGCAGTGCACAGATGTATGGGCTGTTCTGCCAGCCCCATGAGCTCCCCTCATTCCTAGGAGGGCCAGGATGGGGCAGGGCCAACTCCCGGGCCAGCCAGACTTCCCTGGGAGGGGCTCGGATGGCTGCAGTCTCCTCACCAGAGAGGTGCTCACAGGCTCCCTTCGCTCCCCAAGGCCAATCAGGATACCAACCCTATTGGGCTCTCGGGGACTCCTCGGCCCTTCTTGACCCACCCCTGTTCTTGTCCATCCCTCGAACAGCCCCTGCCTTCTCCGCTGTCATCAAGCTCTTACCAGCGAGTGGTGCTAGGTCCTGTCGGGCAGCTGGGTCCGGGGTGAGGGCCCGGGGCTCACTTGGTCTGTAAGTCGAGAGAGTGACTGTCCCTCACCAGGACAGGCTGCTGCTTTATGTGTCTGTGGAGGGAAGGATGTAGGCCTGCCCCAGTGACCCCACCCCTCCTGCTCCACTTCTGGGAGAACAGCATCAACCTGTTCCACATGTGTCCTGCCCCAGGCCCCAGGCAGGTGCCAGCGGGGGTGGGGGGAGCCAAGGCCAAGAGAGAGGTGGCAACTGAAGGTCAGCTTAATGGGCTGAGAGGAGAGGAAAGATGGCACCTTTGGGAGAAAAGCAGTGGAAGTTGGTGTGTGTGTGTGTGTGTGTGTGTGTGTGTGTGTGTGGTGAGAGAGAGAGAGAGAGAGAGAGAGAGAGAGAGAGAGAGATGAGGGAGGGCATCTCTGTTCTGTCATCATCATGGTCATCAGGAAGCATCTAGGATTTATGATGAGACCTTGGGGGTCTGGTAAGTGGATAAGAAATCCTGTGTTTACAGATTCCAGCGTAAGCGGAGCAGCTGTGAAGTGGCCCTCCCTCTTCCTGCTAGTCAGCCTGCCTATTGCTACCCAACTCCCTTTGTTTTAGTTACATACGCGTATCTACGGCGTTGCTAGAAGCATATGTCTGTGTAGGCAGAGTTGGTTTTCTGTTTTTCTGTGTTCAGCATCTCTGCTCCTCATGCAGCACTGTATATACACATACACACACACTTATAGGCAGAGGCATATGGAGTTAGCGGAAAACCCAAAATGTGGTGTCTGCTGTGAGAATTTAGATGTCTCACCATGGGTCACTCAAGTCTTGCTCTTACCTTGAATCCCTGCCAGGAAGGAATTTTAAAGGGGAACTTACGAACCTGGGGAGGTCTCTAGATGACGCTCATAGGCCAGGCTCCTGGCGCACTGGGCTGTGTGTCCATGTCTGTGAGCGGGTAACCTGACTACAACTGAGCATTTGTGCTCTCAGCTGGAGGCTCTCCTCAGCATCACTCACCAAAAATGAAATGCAACCTTGAAAGCCATGAGGAGTAAGTTAGGTCTTTCCTGGAGGTTTTCTTGAGGGGATGGTGGTGAATGGGGAGATTAGACCACATCACATTCCATAAAACTCCCTAAAAACTTACTTATCCACCTCTGTCCCAAAGTCTCCTTCAATATGGCAGCTCCTCCCAAATCTGTTTTCTCTGTATCTTACCCCGAAAAAGCACGTGCCCCTGGGTCTCTGGTCCCTCACCCCTGTCATTTTGCTCCCCCTCCTCCCCAAGCCCTTCTCTAATACTTCCTCCTTCCGTAGCCCTAACCATGACCTTAACCTCACATCCCTCCCCCCGAAGAGAGGCAGGTAGGAGTTTGGACATGTAGGAAGGCTGTCATTCGGCCCCTTTCACACCTGCACATGTATGTAGAAATGTGTTGTGTGTATAATATCCTACCCATCTCTGTTTTCCTGGATTTTCGCTTCTTCCTCTCTGTATCTCTCTTTTTAAAAAATGATGTTTTTATTTTAGAGAAAGAGAGTAATAAAGAGAAAAACATCGATGGGCTGCCTCCGGCAGTCCCCCTATTGGGGATCGAGCCCTCAATCCAGGCAAGTGCCCTGGCCGGGAATTGAACCAGTGACCTCTCAGTGCATGGAATGGCGCTCAGGCAACTGAGCCACACTGGCCAGGGCTATATCTCCTGATCAGTGCATTGATGTATATAGTCCTGGGCTGCGCAGCCTCCCATCCCTTAGTCAGCTCCAGAGTAGGCAGCCCACTCCCAACCCTCTCACCAGCCCACCATTGCCTCACTCAGACTTTTGGGAATTTTTTCCCCCTGTGTCCACTCTCCTCCCGCTGGCTGCAGCCAAGATTTCCAGTCCAGCTCATCTTCCAAAGGGCTAGAGAGCAGTGGTTTCAAGAAGCCACACATGTATCTGCTCTCTCTGAGGCAGACCCCAGTTCTCTCTCCTCTGCCCCAGAAGTTTTGCTCCTTTTCTTTCTCTTGCCCTCATTCATGCTGAACTCTACCAGGCTTGTCCTCATTCTCTTTGTCCTGTCCCCACCCCACCTCTGACACATTGAACCATTCCTCAAATTGCCTAATGGTGTTCCAAGCAGGAGGCTTGAAGGGTTCAAGGCAGAGAGAAAAAAATATGGGCTTGTGGGGTCAGCCAGGTTAAAGGTCTTGTGCTTTTGGAATAAAAGTATCCATGTCAGGTTTGCCCCTGTGCTGCTGCTCCCACCCATCCAGGTTGCCCTGTCGTTTTATAAGGGAAAGTCCACAGAATCCCTTTAGGGTTCTTAAGATGCTGGTTTATGTTCCAGGGAATCTGGGGACATATTTTTTAAAAATATGTTTTATTGATTTTAGAGAGAGAGGGAGAGAGAGGAAGGGAGAAAAGAGAGAGAAGGAGAGAAACATTGATCTGCTGTCTCCTGCACATCCCCCACTGGGAATCAAGCCCTCAGCCCAGGCATGTGCCCTGACGGAAAATTGAACCAGTGACCTTTTGGTGCATGGGACGTCACTCCAGCAACAGCCACACCGCCAGGGCTGGGACATATTTTAAATTGTGCTGGAAGATGTTTAAGTTTGACTAATGCGTAAGAACTCTTTAAGTCCATTAAAAGTGACTTACTGAGGTGGTGGTGCATGGTGCTGATCAGGTGGCAGGCTTTGCTCTCTTTCTCCCTCTGGTGGTCAATCAAGGGAGGTAATGGTCGATAATCACCCCTGAAGTGCACTCAAAGCTTTTGGTTTGGGTGTGGTTGCTAGGCGATGGGGATCCAGTCAGGGAATTGACTGAGGGGAGGACGCCCCAGGCAGCCGTTCTCTGGGAACCTGAATGTCTCCCAGAGTGACCCACAGAGTGCTCTGCAGACGCCGCAGACAGACATCGATATTGGGACGACATTACTTCCTTACCCTTTTTCCTTTTTATTACTGTTGATTTTCTGCTCAGCAAGGGGCCAAAGAGGACAGAGAAGGCGGGTAGTCTACTGGAGTTCAGGAGAGTGGAAGGAACTAATCCTGCCAAGAACAGGAAGAAGCTGGCAGTGATGGGGAGAAGGTTCAGGAACGTGCCTGTAAGATATGGAGCCCACACTTGCAGGATGTGGGATGGCTGGAGTATTTGGGGGGAGTTACCCCTCGCACAGACAGACTTCTATATCTTCTCTGAGTTTAAGAAGATGAAATAGCGAGAAAGAAAACAGGCTGGAATGGAGGGGTGACTGTCTGGTGGAGAGGCAGGAAGAATACTCCCCAAGGTCGTTGACTTTTGCATTTCCCATGGGAGGCTGGAATTTTTGGGGTACAGACTGCATATTGTGAGCTCTCCTTCCATGAATGAACTTCTTTTCTGAGCAGAATAAAACCCCCAGACTCCTTTCTTATCCCTTAAAAAAAGTTGAGATTTCTCCCTAAATTGGAGCCCATGATATCTCCAGACTCCTTGCTGAGCAGACACTGTTCAGTGTCTGTGACACTGACTCAGCTCGAAGTTGTGCTGAAGAACTGAAGTGATAAACATACCTGTTCAGCTCGAAGCATGTCAAACTCAGCATCAACCCCCACGATGTCAGCGCCCAGCCCTCCACTGCTATCCTCCTGCAGATGCGGCTGGAGCAGGGGTTGGCGCTCCTGTCCACTCCATGGCTTTGCTCCTGGGCTGTGATTTAGAGGCTCTTCTGCTAGGACAAACCCGCCCCCATCCTTGTTAGAGAGACGGGGTCCCAGATGGAGCTTTTGAAGCTCTGCCTCCAACAGCTCTTGGAGCTGAAGTGCCTCCCCATTTCACCATCTCCCCCAGGCCGGTGCCAAGCTCCACTCTGCTTCCCCTAGCCCTGGTTGGGGGTAGCCAGGTGCTGTTGCCTAGTCCCTGAAGGAAGGAGAGGGTGGCACAGCAGTACCAGAGTGATCACAAGGCATCAGGCACCCACATAGAGAGGAGTCCATCCCCTTGTGTGTCAAGGCTGCGGAGTCCCTCCAGGGCCTGGGTCACCTTCAGCTTCTCGCCCCAGAAGCCTCTGACCAGCTTGAAGTGAAGACAGAAGCGCACTGCCTCCCCTGGAAGAAATTCTCGTCCAGGATGGCCTCCATCTGGACAGCAGAGAATAAATGTCACAGGATGCTTTGCATCTGGGGAGGGAGCCGCCAACTTCAGAGGTGTTCTGCAGTAAAAATGTAAATTTCAGCCCCTGCCCCCCATCCTTGACCTCTCTGCCCATTAGTTCTAGAGTCGAGCAGAAATGAGCACGGATTAAGAATCTGGAGACCCGAGTCTCTGGAGAGAGCTCTGCTAGGAGCCTGCAGCGTGGCCCTGGAGAAGTACCTTCTGTCTCTGGCCAGAGTGCTCATCTGGAGGAAGCGGAGCTGGGTGAGCTCCCGCACCCCCTCTAGTGGTCAAACTCAGTTTTACCATCGTTGTCATCCTTCGACCCTCAGACGCCTCACCCGCTCTGTCGGTTGGGGAAGGAACCCTTTCTCATGGACATGGCAAGCAACTGCTGTTGCTCCTCGTTCAGCTCTGCGGTGGGTAAAGAGAAGGAGACAGCAGGAGGGGCAAGGGCATACTCTCCCTCTGGTGGGCAGGGGATTGTAATGCAGCTCTGGGAGCTGGAACTAACACGTATGTGTGCATGTGTAGGTTCATGTGTGTGTGTGTGGGGGGGGGGGGGGCCGAAGACGCACTCTTAATACTCCGGGAGAGAATGAGAGAAGATTCCTTGAAAGATGTCTCCTCTTTCTTTTAGGAAAAACAGATGTGGAGGAGGTGGGCTTGCCCCTCTTGCTTTTTCCTTGGAGGAGGGGACGACGGGGTTTGGACGCTGATTCACTCTGCCTGTAGCTTGGTATGAGAGCCAGCTTCACGGGCATGCAACCTGTCAAGTTGCACATGGCCCCATGCTTGGTTTAATGTTGAATAATTCTTAGTACTTTTTAAACAAGGAGCCCTGTATTTTCATCTGGCGCTGGGGACCCGTAGATTATGTTGCAGGTCCTGCTTGTTACCATTGGGCCTAACCCATTAGTCCCATCAGGGACCGACCCCATGCCCACTCCTGACCCCACCACGGAGAGTCCCCGGCAGGTAGCCAGTACGAGATTGAGTTTCCTGGAAATCTCCCGCAGTCATTGGAGGACTGAGTCCCCGGCCGCACCCCTCGGACTCCATGAACCACTAGATCTAGGGCCTGACCCACTTGGCAGAGAGATGAGGAGTGATCAGCTAGCTACTCCTGCAGTTAGAGAAAAGGGGCTCCCTGGCAGAGGGGGAGCAGGTCTCCCGGTTCGGAGTGGGGACTCCCTTAGGGAAGGGGTCCAGTCTCTCCCTGAGCCTAAAGAAGACTCCTTGGAGCGGACTGCCGCGCGGGCTGAGATCTCATTGGACTAGGAGGTTGGCCACGCCCCATCCCAGCCACACCCGCCCCCGCCCCGCCCCCAGCCGTCTTAAGCCCCGCCCCTAGCTCCCTTAGTCCTGTCATCACCACCCGCGCCTCGCCTCCGGCGCTCACTGTCTGTCCCCCATCACTTTAGCCCCGCCCCCGACCTCCCCAAGTTCACCCCATGCAATCCCGGTCTGTCCCGCAGCCGCCTAAGTCCCTCCTCTGGCCTCCACAGCCCTAAGGTCAACCGGGCAGCCTTCTCCTGAACTCTCATCACTCCGCCAGGGCCCCGCCCTCACTGTGTCCTCCAGCCCCGCAGCGTCCAGTCCTTTCCTTAGAGGCCCGCCATTCCCAGGTCAGGCCCTTCAGCGCCAGCAGCTCCTCCACCTCGGCCTGCAGCGCCAGACACCTCGTGTGTCTGGGGGGTGGGGGCCGGCTCAGGCCTGGACTGAGCTTTGAGTACAGGACAGTGGTGACCAGGACCCTCCTCACTCCACCGGCTCGACGTGACTGCACCCAGTGAGCCCCGCACAGAGGCCCCTTCTGGGGCTTGGGGTCCTGTGCCCTCCCTCACGTACCCCTCCCCAGGGGATCGAGTCTGCAACCCAGGCGTATGCCCTTGACCAGAATGGAACCCAGGACCCTTCAGTCCGCAAGCCGACGCCCTATCTGCTGCACCAAACTGGCCAAGGCTGCAATGCTTTTTGTAAATACTTTTAATAACGTCCCTGCCTGCTGTCAGGTTGTGGTTTCTCACTGCTGTTATTCTGACTGTCTGTAATCTACTTTTTGCTGCTTCAGATGTATTGCTTCTAACTTGCTGTAGGCAGGAAACCATAGTTCCAAAGTTATTAGAACTCTATGTAAAGTAAGATTTTAAAAAATTGGTAAAATAAATAGGTTCTGAGTAAGTGTTCCTGTGAACAAAGTACATGGGCCTTAGTCGGTGTTTGCTTCAGACGACCTTTCTGGGCTCACGTGGCCCCTGTGCACAGCTTGTCACCCTGGCTGTCATCCCTGATACACTCACCTGCAGGTCCCCAAGGATGGGCACCATGACTTTCTCATCTTTGTGTCTGCAGTGCCTGCCACATAGTAGGAACTCAATAAATGTTCGAAGGAATGAGTGGACCTGTGGCGGCATCTCTTTTGGCAGCTTGGACGCCTTGCTCTGCTTTGTTTGCTGCAGTCCTGACTGGGGGCAACGCTCCTCCTAGGCAGGAGAGAGTCCCAGGGAGACGAAGTAAACCCGTTTCTAGTTGGAACTCCCCTTAGTCTAATGGGGAGGCACCGTCCCTCCCCGTGGGATAAGCTGCCCGAGTTGCTGCCGGTTTTGATGCTGACATCCCTCACTCTGTAGGGGAGCTCAGCGCTGCACCCGAAATGTCTGCGTGTTGAACCCAAGGCAGGAAGGGTGGAGCAGCCGGGTGGGGAGGCTTAGCGGCCTCCTCCGCTCCCTGGTACTTGGTTTGCTCTCTGTTCACTTCCTCTTGTGGAGAACGACTTTATAGGTGCTTTAGTCTCTGTGTCTGGGGGATGTCTGGGTCTCATTAGGTTCAAAGCTCCAAAGAGAAAGAAAGCTGTTTACTCCATTAGCGTGGGAGTCCCTGAGAGAGAAGTTCAGGTCGCTGCCACTCCAACTTAGGGGCTGGGCTCCCTGAGGGCAGTGTCTGCTGCTTTTTCCACTACTTCATAGGGCAGGAAGAAGCTGGTGGTGGAAGGGCTGACTGAGGGACTTCTTTCTTTTTTCAAAAATATTTTTTTTTTTATTGATTTCACAGAGAGAGAGGGGGAGAGGTAGAAACATCAATGATGAGAGAGATTCATTGATCAGCTGCCTCCTGCACACCCCCTACTGGGGATCAAGCCCACAACCCAGGCATGTGCCCTTGCACAGAACCAAACCCAGGACCCTTCAGCCCATAGGCCGATGCTCTAGTCACTGAACCAAACCAGCTAGGGCGAGGGACTTCTTTCTTCCCACCTTTACACACAGTCTGCTGGCTCCAGGATGCCGCATGGGGAAGACAAGCCGGGGTCTGCCTCAGGCCTCCCGGGTTCTTGCTCAGAGCTGGGCCAGGCATGTGGCTGGGCTCTCTTGGCACTTGACAGCTTGCCCAGTGGGCAAGTACAACCCGCAGGTCAGGGCACTGAGGAAAGGGCTTAGGGGTTCAGTGACTGTTGTTCCAGGTGGGTGCATCTCTGAGTCTGTGAAGGCCTTGCTCTGTCCAGTCTCCTGTGATGGGCTGAGTTGGAGCTGCAGCCTCTGAAGCCCCCCTCCCACCAAGTTCTGACTCAGGGACCCCAAGTGGCTGGGGTGAAGGGGTCTTTCCCTGGGGTGGGAGCCAATGAAGCATCTCTCCTGCCACCTCCCCAAGTTCCTACTTGCTCTCCCTCCTGCTTTCCTCCCGTCCTTGCTCCACAGAGGGGAAGGAATTTGAGCCAGAGGGGACCCAAGCGGGTAACTGGTGGGATGTTTATTATCCAGTGCTCCTGTCCCATCTTGAGGTCCCCGCTGAGATTTGGGGATAAGTGTCAGGGTGGGGGAACTAACGCTCTGCAGACCTTAAAGGTTTGGTCTCTGCTGCTCAGGATGACAGGGAGTCTAGTGAGCCTCTAGGAATGGGCACCAATGGTAGAGGCACAGGGCCCCACCTGTTCCCCACCCTTCCACCTCCACAGATCTATGCAGTCTGTTTCCCAGAACCCAGCGAGACACGGTCCAGCCTGATTCCAGTAGGGGGTGGGTGAGCCGAGTGGGGCAGACTCTGTGAGTGGCCGGGGAGGGACTGATGGAGGGTTTGATAGGGAGGGGCCAGGATTCCAAGACCCAGGCCAGGGTGTGGCTGGGGTGGACGGTCAAGGCTGCAGCCTGAACCTTCCCACACCCTATTCCTTCCCCCACCCCTGAAGTGGGGAGGCCTGTGTCTCCTGAGAAAAGAGGATGGGTGGGGTGCCCCAGGTTTTTCTGACATGAATCAAATTGAGGCTTCCTGGATGATAGCAGAGCTCAGCCTTGGGTTGGTGGGAGGAGCCTCAGGGGTGGAGAGAGGAGGAGTGGCGAGGGGGGCTGCAAAGGAGACAAGGGGTTCAGGATGGGTCAGAGGGACCAGGGGAGGGGATGGATTTCTCCTTGAGTGGCCACCCAGTCTGCCCCAGGCTCTGCCCCAAGCTGGGGGAACCCTGGTTCAGTGGGTCTTATCTTCAGTTTCTACTGGGGCTCCTACAAGCTTTCCCAAAGCAGCTGTTTTCTCCTTGGAGGCCACATGGGCAGATCACTCTGCATGGGGGCAAGGGACAGGGTGTGCTGATCCCTTTGGGCCCCTTGCGAAGCCTGTTTGGTGATAGGATCTCTCATATAGCCCCCTGCTTCAGCCAACTTGGTCTTCACCCTCTTCCCTCCCCACCAGGAATTCTTTCACTAACTTTGAGCACATCTGGTTTCTCCTGCCCCCTGCTCAGACTCCCGCTGAGAGAAAAGAAGATTGCAAGAGGGAAATAGCTTCCTCTCCCTTTGCTTCCTATGCCCCCTCCAGCAGGCTGGAGACTGCTAGCTGATGACTGATGTCCACACATTGCCCTCTTCCCGTCCTCCCTCCATTCTCCATCCTTCCCGTTTGTCATCATTAATTCATAGGCCCTGGCATTTCTAGCAGAGAGACTCTAGTGCCAGGAGCTGAGTGTCTAGTGCCAGGTAGGAAGGGAGAAAGGAGTTGGCATCCAACCCAGCAGGAGCACCCACCACCTAAGGGGTGATAGCGGTGATGGTGAAGCTCTCAACACCTCCCCCCTCCTCAATGCTAGGCCATAATGTTCCAGGAAATGAACAATAAGAAAAAGATCACGGGCATTAATAAAAGTGACTTTATTGAGTTGTCTTGGGGTAATGTTCTGGGTGTGGGAAACCTTCTAATCCTCCCCACCCTGCCCCCAGCTCTCCAGTGAGGGACCCATCCCCAGCTCAGACGTAGCGGAGACCACTACACCCCCAAGGGAAAGAGTTCAGGAAACCCTTCAATATATGAAGGAGAGAGCAGAAAGATGGGGAGTCTCTGGAAAAGGAAGCAGGGGGCCCTAAGCCAGGGGTTCCCCCAAAGAGGACCTAGGGAGAGGAGCCTGGGGCCGAGAGAGAGGCAGAAGTGAGGGGGGAGCTTCTCAGTAGAGGTGAGAGAGAGGAGGAGCCCACAGGGTCCTTCTCAATCTGACTGCACCCCAACTTTCTGGCCTCACCTCCAGCTTGGTCCCTCCATCTCCTTGCCCTCCTTTGCAATCTCTATTTCAGCTCCAAGGTAGGTCTTGGTGCTGCCCAGACATTCCACGTTGTTTTACATCTTCTTTGCCTCTGTCCACCCCCTCTCAGTAGGGTCCTCCCTCTTCCGCCCAAAGCCCTTAGCTTTCTGGAAGCGTCAGTTCAGACCTCCAGACAGTGAAGCCTTTGAGATCAGCTCAGCCAGGCAGAGGCTCCCTCCTCCGTGCGCACACAGCTGTCTGCCCCTACCTCCAAGTGGGGTAGACACCTACACGTGCCACCTACATTCTCTGTTCTGTTGTCCCCCCCCCCCCCACCTCCCCCACGGTGCACTCGGGAGCTTTGAGTATTGCACAATCTGGGCTCAAAGTCGGCACCCAAAACTCCAGGCACCAATAATGGTGTTGGCTGAAAGAGTGATGAGGAGTGTATGAGAGACAGAGGAGGGAGGGGAGTAGAATTTGGGGGATGGGATGGCGCTGCAGAGGAGGCAGAGAGGTCAGAGGACAAGAGAGAGCCCAGGGGAAAGAGTGTGGGGTGAGGGCCAGAGGAGTGGACCTGGTCATCAGACCATTGTGCTGAGGGTGGAGGAGTCCTCCGAGCGCACCACTGGCAGCACGGGGGCCCTCTTGAGGGGACGTCGGGTCTCGTCCCGATTCTGCCACACATAGTGGGCCAGGTAAGCCACCACCAGCGCCAGCCAGCCCCCCATGGTGACCAGTAGGGCCACATCTGTGCTCCGCCGGGCTCCGCCCCGCCCCGTCCCACACAGCTCTTCCTCCCCTGCCAGCAGCAGAAACTCCTGCCCCACGAGGTCTGGTCGGGCTCCAGGGCCACACACGATGCCTGTCCCAGTGCCCGGTGCCAGCCTCACCTGTCTGAGAACCTCCTGGAGGGCACAGTCGCAGCGCCACGGGTTGGCAGACAGGTTCACTTGGATCTGCAGCCCCACAAAGGCCTCCACGGGCACTGAAGCCAGCTGGTTGGCAGAGAGGTCGAGGTGCCGCAGCGTGCCCGCCAGGCCTTGGAAAGCAGCCCCTGAGAGGTGGGCAAGGACATTATGGGACAGATCCAGCTCCTCCAGAATAGGCAGGTGCTGGAAGGCACCAGCTGGCACCGATGCTAGCCGGTTGGCATCCAGGTAGAGCTTGCGGGTGTCGTTGGGAATGCCAGTGGGCACGGCAGTCAGGCCTGCCTGGCTGCAGCGGAATGTCCGCTCACCAGCTTCCTCTGCCATGTAGCAGCCCTGGGGAGGTCCCTGGGGGCTGGGCATGGTACCCCCTGTGCCCATCACCAGCAACAGGGACAGGAGGTGACTGGCTGGTGCGAGCATGGCCGCCGATTGGCATAGTCCTGGAATGGAGTAGGATCTGGGGAAGAGAAAGTCCCGTAAAGGAAAGTGAGTCAAAGGAATTCCATTTCCCAGGGCCAGCTCTCTTCCTGGGGCCCCCTGTGGAATCTCTTTGAACTGGGGACCTTCCTTTGGGGGATCTCGCAGGCCTGGCGACGTTTTGCTTTCTCTTTGGGGTTTAGGGCTCCTCATTCAGGCCCTTTGGGTAGGAAATCCCCTGGGCCTGAGACTCTTCTAGAGTCTCTTTGGTTCTGGAGGGCTAATCTATGAGGTCTCTTGGGCCAAGGCCCTGTTGTCATTCTGGGTCTGGGGGCTTCTAAGTTTCTGCTTCTGCCCATGTATGGATTTTCCTCAGTGGAATAAAGTCTTTTTCCACCAGCTTACCTGGGTGGCTGCCAGGCGGGCCAGGTAGGCACCAGAAGGCCAGTTGGCACTAGAGTGAAGGATACAAATAGGACAGGTCAGTCATAGGACTTCAGGGCACCCAGCTAGGCGAGGTGACCAAGGGCCCACCTCAGTGCTCATCTATCCCTTTTCCTGGAGCATCCACCCCTCTGCCTGCTCCAGCTTTGTCTCCTCTACCCCACCCCTTTCTGCCCTGTCCCCTCTCTCCTCTAAGCCTCTCACCTCTGTTGGTGGGGGGGGAGCCTTCTCCTGGGCTGCCCTCCTCCCGGAAGTAGCCTCCCTGCTGCTCCGCTCTAGAGACCCGCTTCCTTCTCCAGAAGTTCTGCTTGCTCATCGCTGCTGGAAGTTGGGGGCTGGGACCCAAGAGTATTGGGTTTCCTGGCATGTGACTCCGGGCCCCAGGTATCAGATACCTGAGCCATGGCCTGGCTAGACGATGCCAAGAGAGGGCAGATCCTGGACCCTGATGAACTCTGCCTGGGGAGACCGTATTGGGTTTCCTGGCATGTGACTCCAGGTATCAGATACCTGAGCCATGGCCTGGCTAGACGATGCCAAGAGAGGGCAGATCCTGGACCCTGATGAACTCTGCCTGGGGAGACCAGGCGCCATTTCCATTCCCTGCCTCGGGCTCCCCTCCCAAGGCCTGCTGCTGTCATCTTCCATCCCTCCTCTCTCAGCCGGGGAGGAGACCCTTCCGTTGCCCAGAGCCTGGCCCAGCAGAAGGATCCTTGCTTGACAGACGTGTGGGCAGAACTGGGTGGGCTCAATCTCACATCCATTGCCTCCAGCTCCCCCCAAATCCATCCCTCCCCCCACTCTCCGTCTCTGCCCTGCTACTGCACCCTGTAGCAAACTTGTCTCAGCCTTTTCCTTGGAAAACTTGTCTCACCCTGGAGGACTTCATTTTCTGCTCCTCACAGGGTGCCCAGCCCTCTTACCTGGCAAGGAGCACTGTGGTTCGATTTTAGTTTGTTCTCTGCACTGTTGGTAGATGGCCCCTCTGGGAGTTGGAAGGGGTTCTTCAAGGTGCCTGATGTCAGATACGGTTGTCTACAAGTTTTCCTGCTGATTTTATGTTCTGGATTGGAGCTGACTCCGGTCCCCTCACTTTGCTGCGACACCAGGGCCTCTTGATCCCACCCATCATTTGCAGCCCAAGCCACCACATTATACCACCGTCTCCTGATGCTCACTAGGTAGTGGAAGAGTGGGGTGTCATAGACATTTGCACAGAAGAGGCTGCGGTCATATGCCGGGGAGAACTCCCTGAGAAGGAAAACCTTGCTGGATTTTGTAAGAGACTATGAGTGACCAGGATCGGACACAACGCAGGACCCAGTGCAAAATAAAAATGTGGGGCCCCCGCCCTAGCCGGTTTGGCTCAGTGGATAGAGCGTCGGTACTTTTAACTCTTTGTCATGCCCGCAAGCCAAGGAGGGCTGGGACAATATTCCCCAGGGCCTCTTGATCCCACCCATCATTTGCAGCCCAAGCCACCACATTATACCACCGTCTCCTGATGCTCACTAGGTAGTGGAAGAGTTGGGGTGTCATAGACATTTGCACAGAAGAGGCTGCGGTCATATGCTGGGGAGAACTCCCTGAGAAGGAAAACCTTGCTGGATTTTGTAAGAGACTATGGGTAACCAGGATCGGACACAACGCAGGACCCAGTGCAAAACGAAAATGTGGGGCCCCGTTCAGAGACTGTTCCATATGTCACAATAGCAACAGCAGATGGCAAAACCAAGCACAGGGCCCTTCTGAGCACAAGGTGTGGCACCCTGGGCAACTGCACAGGTCACATGCCCACAAAGCTGGCCCCGTGTAGGTGCCCTTTGACCAAGCCATTCAGAAGCGTAACAGGGGACAGAATCAGATGGAAGGATACGCCCCGTGTTCAGAGACTGTTCCATATGTCACAATAGCAACAGCAGATGGCAAAACCAAGCACAGGGCCCTTCTGAGCACAAGGTGTGGCACCCTGGGCAACTGCACAGGTCACATGCCCACAAAGCTGGCCCCGTGTAGGTGCCCTTTGACCAAGCCATTCAGAAGCGTAACAGGGGACAGAATCAGATGGAAGGATACCGGATGATGTCATCTCTGGGGATGTACTGAGCACTGACTCATTCTTGTGACATCGACAGGGCACTTCTCACACATTTGTCCAAGGAATCAGGTAAGATACGTTTTCCTACGCTTGGGCAGGAGAAGCGAAACATTTATCTGTGGGTTGCTTGTCAGTTGGCCCAGGCGCTGTGCCATTGAATAAATACTTCAGTGTCCATTTCGGAATTCTAGCTGCATGTGGGAGAGAAAGCGGGTGGGACACTACCCCTCCCGCGGCTCTTCCCTCACACTGGGCAGGGCGGTTAGCTCCCGCACAGGAGTTGAGCCTGGCTGCTGATGGAGAGAACTGTCTCCTTTTCAGACTAAGGCGGCTGCCGGGAAAGGTTGGGACTGGGCTGCCCAGCACAGCAGCTGTAGGAGCAGCGGTCTGTGCACACAGGAGAGGCCATCCGGAGCATGGATGTGGTTCACGGAGGGCGGCGAAGTGCTCGGTGTGAAGGGGAGACCTGAGAGGAAGGAGGAGCCACACCTATGATAGTACACAAGGGGTGACAAGGTTGCAAGAGAAATTCTTCTCTGCCTTTCATTCAGTGAGGATTTCCTGCGAGCCCCGTGTTTCAAGCGCTGTGCTTGTCGAAGGATATGCAGACGCTGTTCTTAAGGTCCCAGATCGGTAGCTGTGGTTAACCCAGCCTGCACATTAGGATCCCTAGGGAGGGAGCTTTCAAAATTGAGTTCTGCCTGGGCTTCACGTGGACCCATTCAATGAAAGTTTCTGTGAAGGGGGCCTAGGCACTGGTATTTTTCAAAAGCTCCCTGGGTATCTCTAATGTGCAGCCTGAGATGAGAATTGCTGGTCTAAGGAAGACATGGACATGTGGACACTTGTCTCCACAAAAGCCTTACTGTGATGGCTGCGGAACTGACGTGAGTGCGGAAGCTTTGAAGCTCAGAGAGAATAAGTCTCTGTGGCAGAATCTGCTGGCTCTCTACTTGGTATTGTAGGGGAGGCAACACTTTACCTCTGCCCTCTTAGGGCTTTTCAGCCAGGCCTGAGAATTCACCTGACATGAGACAGATTGACAGGTGAAAAGCATGCACATTTACATACGTTGTCCATGACGTGAGAGCCCTCGTAAGACAGTGAAAACCCGAAGAAGTGGAAAAACATAAATACTTTTGTCCCACGTTGGATACAGAGAGGCAATTGTAGAAAAGTAACTAAAATAGAGGAGGCTGGAGGAAGATTAGAGTTATTTTAACAAGGTCTGTTTGTGCAGAGTTCTCTGGGCTTTGACTCCCCATTGAAGAATGTGTCCTTTCTCCCAGTACAGGGAGAGCGTCTCTCACAGGGCAGTTTCTGTCTCCTGTTTTCTGGAAGAAAATAGGAGATAGGAATGCCCTTCTGGTGTCTGTTTTGTTTTTTTTAGTTTTTTATGTGCCTTTAGCTCAAAATAATCCGTATGCCTAAGTGGCATATTTTGGGGTGGCCTATTCTGTCACCCTTCAGTACCCATTCCTTACCTCCTCCTTTGATGACATGTGCTGATTTGGGGGTAGCAATGTACTCAGTCTGTCATGAGAGAGCCTGGTTGGTCCTTTCAGTTTATTAGAAATCCTGTTGCCCACTTTCCCCAGTCACCATTGCAGCTGGGGAGGCCCAATTCTGATCAATAATATCTAAGTGGAAGCCTGCTCAAGAGGTGTCTGAGACTGTCTTCGATTCACTCATAAAAGAGGATGGGCTGGCCTGGCTGGTGTGGCTCAGTGGTTGAGTGTCGACCTATGAACCAGGAAGTCACAGTTCAATTCCCTGGTCAGGGCACATGCCTGGGTTGCTGGCTTGGTCCCCAGTAGAGGGTGTGTAGGAAGCAGCCAATCAGTGATTCTCTCTCATTATTGATGTTTCTTTCTATCTCTCTCTCCCTCTCCCTTCCTCTCTGAAATAAATAAAAAAATATATATTATTATTTTTAAAAAGAGCATGGGCTGAACCTTCCCCTTCTCCCTACAGCTTTCTCCCTGCTTTGGACATGCAGGGTCAACTATGGCCATCTGTGACCTTGGGGCAATAAAACAGAAAGGAAAGGTCAGAAGCATCATGGAGATACTGGCCTGGATATCACTGAACCACTCTACCACTGGACTCATTAAAAGTAATCCCCTGCTTCAGTGCTTCTAAACTTGGCTGCACATTAGGATATGTGAGGTTTTGAAAAACACCGATGTCTGGGTCCACCACAGAGATTCTGATTAAATTAATTTTGCGTGCTTCTGGGGGTGGACTATTAAAACCTCGCTAGATGGCTAATGGCACTCAGGTCAGACTCATTCCTTTTCTGTTGCTTTCAGATGACATCATTCTTATCTGATACGACTGACTTTTCCAGGCTAACAGGGAAGGCTTCACCAGGAGTGACATTTGAGTTGGGTGGTTAAGGTCGAGTTCATCAGCTGGAACATGTGCAAGAGCAAGGGAGCATGAGAAGGCCTGTCTTCTCCTAGATTGTAGAGGGAGCGGTGGGCGTGGTAAAGGCTATGGTTAAACTGGAAATGGATCAGGTCCTTGTGGCCTTGTAGACCATGTAAGATTGGAACTTGGTTTAGGAGCTGATGGGTGGGTTTTAAAATTAGGTTTGATATTTGGGTCACTTTCCTGGCTGTGTGGAGAATATGTGTGTGGAGAATATGTGAAACTCCCTCTCCCTTCCTCTCTGAAATAAATAAAAAAATATATTATTTTTTTAAAAAAGAGCATGGGCTGAACCTTCCCCTTCTCCCTACAGCTTTCTCCCTGCTTTGGACATGCAGGGTCAACTATGGCCATCTGTGACCTTGGGGCAATAAAACAGAAAGGAAAGGTCAGAAGCATCATGGAGATACTGGCCTGGATATCACTGAACCACTCTACCACTGGACTCATTAAAAGTAATCCCCTGCTTCAGTGCTTCTAAACTTGGCTGCACATTAGGATATGTGAGGTTTTGAAAAACACCGATGTCTGGGTCCACCACAGAGATTCTGATTAAATTAATTTTGCGTGCTTCTGGGGGTGGACTATTAAAACCTCGCTAGATGGCTAATGGCACTCAGGTCAGACTCATTCCTTTTCTGTTGCTTTCAGATGACATCATTCTTATCTGATACGACTGACTTTTCCAGGCTAACAGGGAAGGCTTCACCAGGAGTGACATTTGAGTTGGGTGGTTAAGGTCGAGTTCATCAGCTGGAACATGTGCAAGAGCAAGGGAGCATGAGAAGGCCTGTCTTCTCCTAGATTGTAGAGGGAGCGGTGGGCGTGGTAGAGGCTATGGTTAAACTGGAAATAGATCAGGTCCTTGTGGCCTTGCAGACCATGTAAGATTGGAACTTGGTTTAGGAGCTGATGGGTGGGTTTTAAAATTAGGTTTGATATTTGGGTCACTTTCCTGGCTGTGTGGAGAATATGTGTGTGGAGAATATGTGA